TTTATGAATCATGTTATCATTTCCTTTGTTGCTACTGTTTTAGTATTTGCTGAATATTTATGCTGGTTCTCTTTTTTGATGTGAAGGTTTTATCATTTTTTTGAGGTTACCCTGTGATTTAGTTTTCTTCCTAAGTTTAGAACAGTCTGTTCTATCCTGTAGTTGTCTTGACTTCCCTACCAACTAGGAGTTCTGTTACGACAGTTTTTTCCCTCTTTTTGGTTTGTAGTTGTCCTCATTTGTCAATTATGTCTCTGGTTCCCTGTTTACAATCTTGTAGGCTTCTTTACTTTGGATTCTTCCATAGCTGGGTTGGTTTCTGGGTTATATCATCATGTGTGTTAATGGTCAGTTGTTGGCTGTTGGTGCTTCTCTGTCCAAAGGGCACCCTTTAGCATCTCTTGTAAGGTTGGTCTGGTTTTAACAAATTCCCTTAATTTCTGCTTATATGGAAATGTCCTAATTTCACTATCATATTTGAGGGACAATTTTGCTGGGTATATCATTCTTGATTGGAAATTTTTCTCTTTCAGGGTTTTATATATGCCATCCCATTGTCTCCTTACCTGCATGATTTCTGCCAAGAAATCCGAGCTTAGTCTTATTGGTTGTCCCTTGTAGGTAACTTTTTGTTTTTCCCGTGCTGCTCTCCTGATTCTTTGTCTTTGGTTTTGGTAAGTTTGATGATGATATTTCTTGGTGATTTTCTTTTGGGGTCTATCCTGTTTGGGGTTCGTTGGACTTCCTGAATGGATATATTCTTATCTTTCATCTTACCAGGAATATTCTCTTCCAACAAATCTTTTGACAATTTTCTCTCTGGTTTTATTTGTGTCTTCCTGTTCTAGAATTCTGATTACACATAGGTTATTCTTTTGATGGTATCCCACATGAACCTTAGGCTTTCTTCATATTGTTTTGATCTTTCTTCTGATTTATCCCTTTCGAAAGAAGTGATCAGGTATTTGCCTTCAATCTCACTAATTCTGTCTTCCATTGATGAAGTTCTGCTCCTTTGCCCATTCAATGTCTTACCTATTTCTGAAAATTTAGAATTAATTTTCTGGATTTCTGTGTGTAGATTTTATATCATTTCTAATTTTTCATTTATTTTGTCATTTT